CAATATAAATTTAATTTCAATTAGGGGGGTATTTGGGATTTCTCATATACGAGATGCAAGTATAGCATCCAATATGAATTTTAGAATTGTTATTTCAATTCGAATTTCACGTGTAAAAATTTACATGTGAACACGTATATATGGATATCCGCACAACACCTAGCGAATGGCTCTCATGACCGAATATATATTTATTAGTTTAGAAACTTCGAAGCCTGAAAAGATTCTTTAATTATATAAGGACCTGTTGTTTCGAAGTTGGAACATGCGAGTTCGTGGAATGAGCGTCAGCGTTGCGAACGGCAAGTGGAACTTATCAATAAAATATAAATGGGTTCAGACGACTCAACAGTTGCACACCAGTTGAGAGATGATCACTTCTGATTGGATCATACTTCTGGATTCACATTAGATTTTGTAGAATAGTCCTATCATAAGTGATNATCTTTCAACCTTTGAGTTTTCTGAATGTAACCAATGCCGTGGTTAACTGTTTGAAGCCGTCTATAATGGAAAGTTGTAGACTTTAATAGTAAAAAATTNACCAATCACAAAAATATTACAGAAGAATAATCGATTGGGAATGGTTAATTTTTTACGACTTACGGTTATATTGTAGAACAAACTTAAGTAGATATATACGCCCAGTTCCGTTATTACTGGTTGCAGAGAGAATTCTGAGAGCGGCCATGCCATTGTAGTTTCTTAAGGCCTATTTACATAAGACGCAGATGCTAGTCGCAAGTAACAGGTCTTGCNAAATTGACCAATCATGTTCGCTGATTGACTGATTTGATTAATGTAATTGATTAATTCCGCGAGAACAGCCACCTGCGACTAGCATCTGCGTCTTATGTAGATAGGCCTTTACGACAATTTTATTCGCTGGTTTAAGCCGTATTTCCACAAAAGTGGAACTCAAAGTCCGTTCTCCGTGAAACTCAAGGAGTAGGTCTCATGGAACTGATCAATCACGTTAGTCGATTGACTGATTGGACTCTGCAAATGGTCAATTCCACGAGATCTATTTTTTGCTTTTAATGTAGAACGGCCTTTGAGTTCTACTTTTGTGAAAATACGGCTAAAAGCAGCGGCTGAAACCGTAGTAAGAAACTACAATGGCATGGCGGCTCTCAGGCTTCTTTCTGGTACAAGCGACAGGTTAATATGTGCAGTTCGTGAAGGAAACCTAGAAAGAGCAAGGAAGTTACTTACTTATCTTAGACTATCTTATTCACAAGCATGGTCAGAAGGATATGATTTACTTTCTGATGCTATTGAGAATAAGCATACAGAAGTTATTAAACTACTTTTAACAAACGGTTGTAATGTTAACAGAGACACTGGGTGCGGTCAAACAGACCTTACCAAATACTTCAAACACTTTTACTCTAACACTTTCATAAGAACGGTCAATGAACATTATCAAAGTTGCAAACGTTACACCTCCGATACGGTCAAAGTAGTGCTATAAACGCTTCGAAATTAAACCGTTATATACATAACCATGTATATTGGTAGAGAATATTTATATGGAATAGGTAGAAAAATAAAAATAAGAAAAATAAAAAATGGATAGAGAAATGATAAAACAAAAAAAATAATTACTGTAATGTGTGTTAATGAGTTTCTGAAAACACAGTCTTATTTAAATGATGAAAATGAAGATGAAGATCTGTTATTAGAAACTATTTCTACAAAACGTGGATCTTACAATAAAAAAATTGATGGTTACGTCGAGCACATAATACCGTCATTTAACAATGAACATTTTAAATCGCATTTTCGGTATTAATATATTATATATAATTTGTGTGTTTTATGTACATGCTATTATGTCAAATTCCGAAATGTACATATATCTTTATTACTTAAAATTGGATGTTACTAGTATCCTACCTTCAACATTTGAATATATTTTGCATGAAATTGGAGGAAAACTTAATGGTACGGGAAATCAAATAGTGTCAGCAGAAAAGCAATTTTTAATAGATTTATGGCGTTTTGCAACACCAGATTCATATAGGTAAACATATAGTAGTC